GAACTCACAAGCTGTGAGATCATGACCCAAGCTGAAGTTGGATGTTCAACTGACTGAGCCACCCAGGTGCCCCCTCCTTTTTTGATTTTCCACTGATTCTCGTTGACCTCAGACCTTCTCTTTGACTTTAAATGACCTCCGTGACTCCATGGCTGCCCGGTGATCTTTCCCAGAACTTTCCACAGATCCCAGGATTGCTCCCTTACCCCCACTGAGCACAGATTCTCCTTGTAATCTGCCTCACCAGTGACCCCACTCTCCCACTCAGGGTACGGTTCCTTCTTGGTGGCCGCCATGGCGAATTCAAGTTCCTCCCTCCACCTGGCTATGCCCCATGCCATGAAGCTGTGCTCCCTCGAGAGCGACTTCATCTGGAGCCCATCAAGGAGTATCGGCGGGAGGGGCCTCGAGGGCCCCACCTGGTGGGCCCCAGCCGCTGCCTCTCACACACTGACTTTGTGCCCTGCCCTGTGGACACTGTCCAGGTACTGCCTGCCCTGCAAGGGTTTCCTGGTGAGACAAACTCCCTTAGGAGTCAGGGAGGTGGGGAGCTGATTTGGAAGCTGGGAATCTTGTTAACAACAGATTGGGAAGCTGGGGCAGAGTGGAGGCAAAGAACTCTAGGAAGACAGAATCCCACTTTCTGGGGGTCCTCACTATAGCCCCCTAAAGAAAGGACAATTATTAAAGTTTTTGGTTTTTTTTTTTTTTTTTTGAGAGAGAGCATGAGAGCATGTGCACACACACCAGGGAGGGTCAGAGAGAGTCCTGAGCAAGCTCTGTGTCCACAGCACAGAGCCCCATGTGGGGTTCAATCTCACAAACCGTGAGAACCATGACCTGAGCTGAAATCAAGAGTTGGATGCTCACCCGCCTGAGCCAACCAGGCGCCCCAAGAAAAGACTATTATTGCCCCTGATTTATAGATGAGGAAAGTGAGACCCAGAGGAGTTAAGCAACCTATATAAGCCACACAGCTGATTTGAACCCATGTGCGGATTCCAAAGTTTGAGATCTTTTCCACTAGTCTGTTGGCATCCCTTCCATCTGGGCCTTCCCACTCCTCCTGTCCCAACTTGAACTCCCCACCCCCCCCAAACATGTCCCTATTGGAGGCCACATAAGTTGTGTTCAAGAGCCTGACCACGAGGGTCTGATTTTCTGTGTGTTACCGTACGTATGTGGCTTTACTTCTCTGTGCCTCACTTTCCTCATCTGTGAGGAAAGGGGGATAACAACAGAACCTACCTTGTCTCACAGTTGTGGAGGTCAGATGAATTAATATCTGTGAAGCGCTCAGCACGGTCCTGAGTAAATAGGAAGGACTCAATACAGTTAGTGTTATCAGTAGCAATAGTGATATTATTTCATGGTGAACTAGCCATCCCCTGTAGCCAGGACAGAGCCTGGGCCCCCTTCTGGATGTCTCCCTCCTGCTCCCCCAGCTTCTCAGCCTCATGGGCTGTCCACTTAGCCTCCTGGACATCCCTCCCACCCCCTCTGCTTCCCCCCATGGCCTGCCCTGGTCCGAACCATCATTATCTCTTGTCTGTAGAACACTAACAACATAAATATTTATTATGCACCCACTGTGCGCCAGGCACTTACATAAACTACGTAGGATTGAGTAGTTATCTGGATTATATCACTGAATCCTTATGAGGTAAGTATTGTTCTGATCCTCATCGTACAAAGAAGGAAAGAGACTCACCCGTTCATTCAGCAACCCCTTTCCAAGCATCTCCTCTGAGCCTGGCTGTGGGATGGGCTGGGGAAGTGGTGGAAACTGAGGCAGCCCCAGGCCCTGTCCTCATGGAACAACCAGTCCAAAGGGGGAGAGAGTCCCAATTCCTAGATAATTCCTTAATTCCATGATTCGAAGTCCTTACTCAGTTGGACTGAGTGTCAACCCTGGAGTCAGGTGATGCTGATGAGGAGCAGGGCTCAGAATAGCAGGGAAAATCTGGGGGAACCGTCCAGGGCTCATACGTGTCCTTGGGGAGAGGGGTCATGGTGCAGCCTGGAAGGAACACAGGGATCTCACGAACGTTCCCTGCCCCCAGATCGTCCTGCCTCCCCATCTGGAACGCATTCGGGAGAAGCTGGCAGAGAACATCCATGAACTCTGGGCGCTGACTCGCATCGAGCAGGGCTGGACCTATGGCCCGGTGAGGGGCCGCCTGCAGCATGAGGGACTCAGGCTAGACTTGCCATTGGGGGAGTGAGCAGGGAGGGGCCAGTGGTTGGGGGAAGGGACTTTAGGGCACCAGGGCATCCTTGGGGTTCTTGTGGCAGAACTAAGGGCAGGAGGTCAGGGGCCACAGTCTGGGAGTGTTGGGGGGAGGGAAGGGACCCTGAAAGTTGACACTGGGGTTTCTCCAGGTTCGGGATGACAATAAGAGGCTGCACCCGTGTCTTGTGGACTTCCACAGCCTACCAGAGCCCGAGAGGAATTACAACCTGCAGATGTCGGGGGAGACGCTCAAGTGAGGGGGGGCGCAGGGAGCAGGGGCCTGGGACCGACTGCTGGTGAGGAGGAGGGCAAGGAGAGACAGGGATTGTGAAGCAGAGACAGACAGCTAGAGAGACTAGAGAGCTAGTCAGTAAGAGAGAGAGAGAGACGTGGAATCAGGGAAAGAAGTAAGTGGACAGGAAAAGATGGGCACCGTCAAAGAGATACAGAGACAAAGAAGCAACGCCAGACAGGAGCCAGAGAGACAGAGACTGAGACAGAGGGATGGGGACAGGCACCCAGAAAGTCAGAGCAAGAGATGTGAGAAACCGACAAGGGCGGGGGAGGAGGGAAGCCGGGCTGGGGGAGGGGAGGCCAGGGGCAGGAAGGCTATGTGAGGTGACACTGCCCTCCCACCCCGCCCCAGGACTCTGCTGGCACTGGGCTGCCATGTGGGCATGGCGGATGAGAAGGCGGAGGACAACCTCAAGAAGACCAAACTCCCCAAGACGTGAGTGCCGGTGGCCCGTGTCCCTCTGGGGAACAGAGCTTGGTGGGGGCTGGGGATGACGTGATAAGGACTGGGCAGTTGAGGGGTCTTGTATGAGGCTGAGGTCAGAGACAAAGCGTCATAGGTTAGGGTGAAGGTCATAGGACAAGGTGTCAGGGCCTGGAGTCAGTGGTGAGTGTCCTGAGGAAGTGTCAGGATTATGGAGGCAGGAGTCCCAGAGGGACAGTGGGTGTGAGTCAGGACCCAAGGTCAAGGTCTGCCATGGAATCAGGGAAAATGAGAGAACAGAGGTAATTTCTCCAAGTCAGAGTCAAGGAGTCAATAGAAAGAGGTGAGAAGCTGTTGGAGTCATAAGTGAGGGACCCTAAAATTATAGGTGAGAGGTCCTTGGGGATAGAGGTCAGCGTTCAGAGGTCAAGGACTCTAAAGCCAGGAATTTGAAGTGATAGAGTTCTGAGGTCAGCGGTAAGAAACCTCAAAGTTAGAAGTGAGAGGTCAGAGTTCCAGGGTTGAAGAGGAGGCTGCCAAAATCACAATGCAGGGGTCAGAGAGGCCAGAGGTCAGTGACATGAAAGCCCTTGCTAGGCTCACAGGATCCTGGGTAAAGAAGCCAAGTATCTCAAAGCTTATTCAACAGAGTCATAGAAGCCTGATGTCAGAGATCAAAGGTCAGCAATTCCAAAACTCAGAGCTCAGGATCATGGAATCCTGGAGCAAGGGTCAGAAGTCAGAGATCCCACTGAGCAGAGCCCAGAGGTGGAGGTGAGGGTCTCATCTCACCAAGCCCTGCCACACCCACAGGTACATGATGAGCAATGGGTACAAGCCGGCGCCACTAGACCTGAGCCACGTGCGGCTGACACCGGCGCAGATGACGCTGGTGGACCGGCTGGCAGAGAATGGGCACAACGTGTGGGCACGAGACCGTGTGGCCCAGGGCTGGAGCTACAGTGCTGTGCAGGACATCCCAGCGCGCCGAAACCCTCGCCTCGTGCCCTATCGGCTGCTGGACGAGGCCACCAAGCGCAGCAACCGGGACAGCCTCTGCCAGGCCGTGCGCACCCTGCTGGGCTATGGCTACAACATTGAGCCGCCTGACCAGGAGCCCAGTGAGTGCAGACCTCAGGTCCCTGACCCTGACTCCTACCGTGATGCGGACCTCGTCCCTTGACCCTTGATTTCTGACCTGACTCAGCCCCTGAATGGGCTACATCTACCACATTGAGCCTCTCTGCACTCCATAACCGTGACCCTTACTCTGACCCCGACCTGAACCCAATCTTGACCACTGACCTTCATCATACACAAGCCCTGCCTGGGCTATGGCTATAACACTGAGCTGCCAGGTCAGGAGCCCAGTGAGCACTATCCCTAATCCCTGACTCCAATTCCTGACCCCCAACACTGACTCCTAACCTCTAACCTCTGGACCATAGCTTCAACATGACCCAGCTTCAACATGACCCAGCCAAGAGCTCAGAGAGCTTCTAACCCCTACCCTTACCCTGACCCCTGACCTATCCCAATCCCAACCTCAACCACCCATCCTGGCTGTGGTCCCCAACTCCAATTTCTCTCCCCTCCTAGAGCCTGACTCTGACACTCTCTCCCTGATCTGGCTCTAGATGCTTAAATCTAAACATCGACCCTAATCTTGACCCTTAACCCTAGACCATGACAGTGACAGACCCGACTTTCTGTCTCTGTCAGCATCTCTTCTCTCAGGGCTCTGACTGCTAAGAAGAGGGGGTGGGGGAGGAGTCTCACTGAGTAGGTCCTTTCCACCTCTGGCTAGTCTGAGATTCACCAGTTCTTCTCCTATAACACCAAGAAATCGTCCCTCTTCCCCCAGCCCCCCGAGGCCCTTACCTTCTCTGGTGTCTCCCACCAACCTCTCAGTGCCTTGGGATCCACTCCCCACCCAGTCTCTGACTCTGCTTGGCCCCTGACTCTGTAGGTCAGGTGGAGAGCCAGTCTCGTTGGGATCGGGTGCGCATCTTCCGGGCAGAGAAATCCTACACGGTGCAGAGCGGCCGCTGGTACTTTGAGTTCGAGGCAGTCACCACCGGTGAGATGCGAGTGGGCTGGGCGAGGCCTGAGCTGCGGCCTGACGTGGAGCTGGGAGCTGACGAGCTGGCCTATGTCTTCAATGGGCACCGCGTGGGTACTCCCTGGGCTCCCTTCTGCCAGGCCCTGTGGTCCCTCCGCACAGCTCATACACTCCAGCCCTGCCTCTGTCTGTGCCCCACTGTCCACTCATCCCTGATCTGCCTTACCACTCGTCCATCTGTTCATCCATCCCTCTCTGTCCATGCACATATCTATCCATCATCCATCTTTCCATCCAACCATCCGTCTATTCATCCATCCACCTATCCACAAATCCGACTACCCTCCCATCTACTCATCTGCCCAAATGACCACTTACCCATCCACATTTCCATCCGTTTATTCATTTTTTTGTTAGTTTAGCCATTCACTTATTTAAGCAATTTGTGATTTCACTTATCGATCAAATCATTTGCATGCATCCATCCACTCATCCATTTATCCACCTGTCCACCTATCTATCCATCCATCTACCCACCCACTCATCCATCTATCTGTCTATAATTTCTTCCTTCCTTGTATCAACCAATGTAGAGTAAGCTTCCATTCCATTCTTCCATCTGGCCGTGCACCCTACTTCTCATCCATCCATCTCGTTATCCATTTACCTATTCTGGGGGCATATAGGTATATGTGGGTCTGTAGAGGGGACATTGGTAGGTTCACTTTTCCCTTCCATCCCTCTCACTTACCACGGCCCTGAACCCCCGACTACCACTTTGGTGGTCTGCATAACCCTAGCACCAGCCATGGAAAGAGTAAACGCAGGCAGAGGGATGGGATACAGAGATCAGTGAGAAGGGAAAGCATGAAAACCTATCCTTTACATTCCAAAGATCATGGATGCAAATATGGGAAAAGATGGGAACCCTGTGGGGGTGACCCCTTGTCTGTCCCACATGTCTTGAACCCAGTGCCTTGCATGTGTATCTTTACGTGTCTCTCCTTGCTTCTGCATGTCTCCATTTCTCTGTGTCTCTCTCACCCCACATCTTCCCCTCACCTCCTCACAGGGCCAGCGCTGGCACTTGGGCAGTGAACCGTTTGGGCGTCCCTGGCAGTCAGGCGATGTCGTGGGCTGCATGATCGACCTCACAGAGAACACCATTATCTTCACCCTCAATGGCGAGGTCCTGATGTCCGATTCAGGCTCTGAAACGGCCTTCCGGGAGATTGAGGTTGGGGATGGTAAGGGCTGGCCTCGTGGCCCCTTTCTGGTTTTCTTTCATCTGACCCTACCCTGCATCCCTAGTCTCCCCCTTTCCATCCTTTCCTTCCACAGTGCCTCCTCCCCTCCTGCTCCCACCCTGCCCACCTATCCTCACCCCTGCCCATCCATCCCCTCCCACCAGGCTTCCTGCCTGTCTGCAGCTTGGGACCTGGTCAGGTGGGTCACCTGAACCTGGGCCAGGATGTGAGCTCCCTGCGGTTCTTTGCCATCTGTGGCCTCCAGGAAGGCTTTGAGCCATTCGCCATCAACATGCAGCGCCCGGTCACCACCTGGTTCAGCAAAAGCCTTCCCCAATTTGAGGCTGTACCCCTTGAGCACCCCCACTATGAGGTGAGGACTGACCCCACTCAATACCCTCTGATCTGCTTCCAAACCTCGTTCTTCCCACAATTCTCTTCCCCAAGTGTCTCCTTTTCTTCTGTGTTAGCCCACAAACCATGTAGAAGGGCATGTTGGGACAGTTGAGCTCCCAGGGCTACCTTGTCAGGTATAACCTCAGCAAACTACAACCTGTCTGAGCTCCAGGGGCCTTGCCTATAAAATAGGGGGAGGACGGGCCGCCTGGGTGGCGCAGTCGGTTAAGCGTCCGACTTCAGCCAGGTCACGATCTCGCGGTCCGTGAGTTCGAGCCCCGCGTCGGGCTCTGGGCTGATGGCTCGGAGCCTGGAGCCTGTTTCCGATTCTGTGTCTCCCTCTCTCTCTGCCCCTCGCCCGTTCATGCTCTGTCTCTCTCTGTCCCAAAAATAAATAAACGTTGAAAAAAAAAATTAAAAAAAAAAATAAAATGGGAGGGGAAAAAAGAAGAGCTGGATTAATCCCGTCCCCCCCCCTTCTGAATCATTTAAATACATTGGAGACATCATGCCTCTTTTTTTTTTTTTTTAATGTAAACTCTATGCCCAGCGTGGGGCTTGAACTCAGGACCCTAAGCTCAAGAGTTGCCCACTCTACCAACAGAGCCAGCCAGTCGCCCCCATGATGGTTCTTTATCCCTAAACATTTCAATATGCATTTCTTCAGAACAGGCTATGCTCTTACAGAACTGCAATTACAGAAGTCAGGTCATGAAAATCAGGAAATTTAACACCAATACGTACTATTACTTAATTCATAATCTGTATTCAAATTTTAGTAATTGTGGTGATTAAAAAAATTTTTTTCATACAGAATCAAATCCAGGATTACATGTTGCATTGAGTTGTTATGTCTCTTTATTCTTTTAATAATTATTTTTTAAAATTTTTTTGAGGGGGGGAGAGAGAAAACATGAACATGAGCAGGGGAAGGGCAGAGTGAGAGGGAGAGAGAGAATCTTAAGCAGGCTCCCTACTGGGCATGGAGCCAGATGCAGGACCCGATTTCGTGACCAATTGTGAGATCATGACCCGAGCTAAAATCAAGAGTTGGATGTTCAACCAACTGAGCTACCCACACTCTCCTCTTTATTCTTTAATGTAGAACGTTCCTGAGTCTGTCTTTGTCTTTCATGACATTAACATTTTTGGAGAGTACACACCAGTTATTTTGCAGAATAGCTCTCATTTTGGTTTGCTGAATGTCGCCACATGATTAGGTACAAGTTACACCTATTTGGCAGAAATACCAAGACATCGTGTCCTGCCTGATGGAGAATATCGGGAGGCACATAATGTCATTATGTCTTATTACCAATTACATTAATTTTGACTGTTTGATTTAGGTGGAGTCTCTCAGATTTCTCCACCATAAATTACTTTTTTCTCTTTGTAATTAATCAATAATTTGTGGGGAGGCATTTTGCAACTAGGTGAGAACGGATGGGTTTAAAGCAGGGGAATGTCCAGTTTGGATGTGACTTTTGGAAAGGTCTCCATTGAGAATGGATTGTAGGGGACAATAGCAGAGGCAGAAAGACCAGAGCCAGAGGAGGGAGAGGCTGGTGGAACAGATGTGGACCTCCTAATTCCTGCTACTGCCAGATGTGTTCTCAACCCAAAGAACAGAATGCTAGACAGCCATGAGAATGAATAGACTAACCTACACACAACCATCCGGGTGAATCTCACAGACATAATCCTGAGAGAAAGAGGCCAGGCACAGGGTGCCTGGGTGGCTCAGTCAGTTAAGCGTCAGGACACTTGATTTAGGCTCAGGTCATGATCTCATGGTTCGAGTGATTGGGCCCTGCATCTGAGCTGACAGGGCAGAGCCTGCTTGGGATTCTCTCTCTCTCTCCTTCTCTCTCTGCCTGCATCCCCCTCCCCCATCTCAGCAATAAATAAATAAACATTTTAAAAAATTTAAAAAGGAAAGGAGCCAGACACAAAACACATCTTGTGGGATCCCATTCGTAGAAAGTTCAAGAACAGGCAGAGCTAATTTATGGTGTGCTAAATCAGGAGGATGTTACCGTGAAAGAATACCTCCGAAGTTTAGTTACTTTGCACACAAATCACAGGAGGGAGATGGTCAGTAGACTCTTGCCCAAGAGCAAAACAGGGTCTATAAGAGATGGGAGAGAGTAGAGAAAAAGACCCTGCAGACATTCTGAGAACAGCAAATCTTGGCCACAGTTTCTGGGTAAAATTTGTTGACTGGCAGAAAGGGAGCACAGAGGTCTTGGTATTTGGTCTTTGAAGAGAGACATCAAAGAGTGGGAACCACTCCAGTTGTTTATGGAGTCTCCAGAAAACCTTGGAGAGCCTGTCTTTGGAACGTAGAGGCCAGGCACCTGCTCTCTGTCAGCTCCTGCCTCTTGTTTAAGCCAGGCTGGTACATTTCTCTCATCAGAATCCCTCACTGCCTTTGAGAGAGTGGTGTCTAAGTGGGCACCAAGAGGGCTCCTGAGGGACTTGGTCAATTTTGTTTCTCCATCTGGGTGCTGGGCACACAGGTGGGGCCACTCTATAACCTCGTCATGTTGTGCATTATGACACGCCCCCTTTCCTTAATGTTGTGTCTCCATATACAGAAAGTTTAGCAAAAGTTCATCTGGGGAGCCTTTACAAAACTCTGCCCCTTCTGGCCTGCTCTCCCTGAGACTCTCCCCAAGAGACCAGGAGGGCAGGGCCTTTGTCCTGTTCACTGATGTGTTCCTGGCACTTGGAACAGTGCCTGGCACACAGTAGGCTCTCAGTAAGTACTTGTGGAATGGATGGATGGGTGGATGACTTAGTCTGGAGTGAGACGCACAGGTAGGTCCTGGAAACTCCCAAAGTGATTCCAGTGGATTCCAGTGTCTGACCAGGGCTGCCACTGTACAGGTGCCTAGACAGAGATTGGCAGAGGGCTGAACGCACCCCGCAGCCAAGCTGTGTGTCCCACAGGGAGCGCATCCACCCAGAGGAGCGAGTCTGGCTGATTCTCACACAGGTGCTCTAAGGCCTAACGGTGGCTCTGTGAGTACCAGGTTTTGGACCCGTGGCCTAGCCTGCCTGCCTGGCTCAGTCTTCCTGCTTCCCTTCAGGTGGCCCGCGTGGATGGCACTGTGGATACACCGCCCTGCCTGCGCCTGAGCCACCGCACCTGGGGCTCCCAGAACAGTCTCGTGGAGATGCTCTTTCTCCGGCTCAGCCTTCCGGTCCAGTTCCACCAGCACTTCCGCTGCACGGCTGGGGCCACGCCCCTGGCGCCCCCAGGCCTGCAGCCCCCCGCCGAGGATGAGGTCAGAGCGGCAGAACCCGACCCGGACTATGAAAACCTGCGCCGCTCAGCGGGGCGCTGGGGCGAGGCTGAGGGGGCCAAAGAAGGAACTGCCAAGGAGGGGGCACCCGGGGGCAACGCCCAGGCTGGGGCAGAGGCCCCGCCCGCCAGGGTGGAGAACGAGAAGGATGCTACCACAGAGAAGAACAAGAAGAGAGGGTGAGTCAAGGGTGGGGCCAGGGTGGGGTTTGGGACCCCCAATTAGGTAACCTCGGTAACTTGAGGACCCCATGTATCCCAGAGTGGCCCCATATATGTTAAAAGGAGTCAGAACACTGAGGGAGACTATCATGCCTCAAGTGAACCCCATTATTTTCCTGGGATGCCCTCATTTCCTTGAGAATGTAAAATCAGAGTACCCCACTACATCTATGGAGAACTCCACTATCCTTGGGGGTACCTAATGGGCCTCAAAGCATTTCACCCAATGGACTTCATTATCCATGGACACTGTAGTGGACAGACACTAAAATATCATGGGAGAGTTGATGGTACCCCAGGGTATCCCAGTGAACACCACTGGTCTTCTAGCTTGGGGTCACTTCTCTGTCTCAAATGTGCCCCCAAAAAGCTAACTTCAAAGGAGACTCTCAAAAGGCATTAAACCTGATTTGAAGCAAATGTGTTTTCCTCTACTAGGCAGTGGTTTTCTTTTTTTTTTTTTAATTTTTTTTTCAACGTTTATTTATTTTTGGGACAGAGAGAGACAGAGCATGAACGGGGGAGGTGCAGAGAGAGAGGGAGACACAGAATCGGAAACAGGCTCCAGGCTCTGAGCTATCAGCCCAGAGCCCGATGCGGGGCTCGAACTCACAGACCGCGAGATCGTGACCTGGCTGAAGTCGGACGCTTAACCGACTGCGCCACCCAGGCGCCCCTAGGCAGTGGTTTTCAATGGGATGTAGTTCTGTGTCTCTTGGCGGGTGTTTGGACGTGATGGACGATGCTGGTCATCACGGTTCGTTGAGGTGGTGGTACTGCTCCAGGAATCCTACATGCCTGCAGTGTATAAGACAGTACCACACAATGAAGAATTGTCCTTTCCCAAATGCCTTTAGCACCCATATGAGAAATGCGGACTTGGGGAACCACTGTATGCCCCAAAGGGAACCACCATGTTCCCAGAGGCACTTTTAAATTTGGGTGACTGGGTATCAGTAAGCACAGAGCACAGCATCTCCAGAATGGATTATGCTGACACTGTTGGGAGTTTTATCCTTCAAGAGGTGAGGTCTTGGGCATTAGAAATGGGATGTATTTAGGATAGACGTGGGGGCCATGAATGTTGTGGTGAAGAGGCCTGGGGGGACTGGGCTTGAAAGCTGGCTCTCACGGTAGCCTTTCCTCATCACCAGGTTCTTATTCAAGGCCAAGAAGGCTGCCATGATGACCCAACCGCCAGCCACTCCCACTCTGCCTCGACTCCCTCGAGAGGTGGTGCCTGCCGACAACCGTGATGACCCCGAGATCATCCTCAATACCACCACGGTGTGAACCCGGGGCCCTTAACTCCGAGACCCCTCAGATTTCCAAATTTTATGCTGCCATCTCTAGTAATTTCCCTTCCTGGGGACACCCTGATATATACTGAAGTCCACGAAATAGAGCACACACTGATTTAATCCCTTGAACCCCTGAATCCGTATAGCTAGGGGGTCTAAAAATTGCAGGGAACACCATGAAGCTATAAGGCACACTGATAAAACTCCCAGGGATCCCAGAATCCAGAGTATATAGCAATGTAGGCTTGGGACCTCAATATTTGGGTTCACCCATATAAACTCGATACCCCCAAATTTAATAGCTACTCTAGTATATTCCTGGGAAGCAAAATTGACAATTATCTCAATAAAGTTTAGGGATTTCCCAAATCTGGAATGTTTTCTGAGACAGGTAGCTTCGTGGTTAGGATTATGGGCTACCTGGGTGCCAAGTGGGCAAGTCACCTCAACTGCTCTCTATGCCTTCTCCTTTATGGAAGCTTTATGGTTCTCCCATCAGTAAAATGAGGATAAAAGTTGTACCCACTTGATGGTGATTATAAAAGTTAAGTAAATTAACTTGTGAACTGTTTGTTAACTATTATTTATCAGTAACTTTGCGATTTGGAGAGGGACCCAAATTTGGGGGTATCACAAATAGTCCCAGAGGATTCCCGAGTCTAAAGATATATCAGTAGACACAGAAACAGGGACATAGACCCAGGGGGTCTCAAAACCAGTAATTTATTGTTGAACTCCCAGAGGACACTGCAAATCCAGAGAGGCCAACTTAGAGTCCCAGGGAAGCCCTGTGTCACCCGCCTTCCAGACTGACCATTGATCCCCCTTTGCCTCTCTAGTACTATTACTCCGTGAGGGTCTTCGCTGGCCAGGAGCCCAGCTGTGTGTGGGTGGGCTGGGTCACCCCCGACTACCATCAACACGACATGAACTTCGACCTCAGCAAGGTCCGGGCAGTGACGGTGACCATGGGGGACGAACAAGGCAACGTCCACAGCAGGTGCCCAGGAGGGGTGGGGACAGTGGGAAGTGAGAGGTCAGTGCTGGGCACCTGGCTCGGCAGCTTCCCTCCCCCTCTTCTTCTCCTCTTCTCTTCCTGTTGACTTTCCAACAATGGCTCCTGCTCTTGGTTTCTTCTCCTCTTCTTTTTCCATTTGTTCTTTTCCATTTTCTCTTCCTTCTTCATCTCACCCTCCCCTTTCTACATTTCCTCCTTTCTCTGTTCTCTCTTCCTGCTCTCCTTCCCTCTCTTCCTCCCAGAACCCCCAGCCAACTTCTAAGAACCTTCACTCTGAGGGGCTCGGGGTTTCGGCATCAGGTGCAGGTGGTGGGGGTTTAGGTATGGAGCTCTGAGGTCATGGTGTCTTGGGAGTTTGGGGAAGGAAGTGTCCAGAGTCCATGCACTGACCACTCCTGTTTCCTCCAGCCTCAAGTGCAGCAACTGCTACATGGTGTGGGGCGGGGACTTCGTGAGCTCGGGGCAGCACGGCCGGATCAGCCACACGGACCTTGTCATTGGCTGCCTCGTGGACTTGGCCACTGGCCTGATGACATTTACTGCCAATGGCAAAGAAAGCAACACCTTTTTCCAGGTGAGCCCGGCCCTCAGCAACTTAGCAACAGTGTTCTCATGTCCCACTACACTGGGATGGCCCTTCCAGACCCCCTCTGAGGACAGATCCCAGAGAGACAGGACAAAAACAGCTCCTAGTCTGCCCTCAGGACAGGCCAGACCTGGGTAGTTCCGGGGGGACCACCTAGTTAACCTTGCATTGAACTGACACCCAGAACGGAGGAGACAGCCTTGACCCTGGAGAGTGGTCCATAGTCCTTCTTAGGCCAGGTGACATCAATTGCCAACCTTTCACCAGTCAAGGAACACCCTAGGATGAATCCTAAGGTAGTCTTTTCCTTTTCAACATTTTATGATGAAAGATCTCAAACGTACAACGAAATTAAAAGAATCGTACTTTGAACACCCACATACCCACTACCAAGATACTACCATCTACACTGGCTTTATGACATATTTATCCACCTATCCACCCATTAATCCATCTAACTTGGATTCTGTAAAACTTTATTTTATTTTTATTCTTTAAACTTTACTTATTTTGAGAGATCAAGCAAGCAGGGGAGGGGCAGAGAGAGAGGGAGAGAGAGAATCCCAAGCAGGTTCCATGATGTCAGCCCAGAGCCCGATGCGGGGTTCAATCTCACAAACCGTGTGAGATCACGACCCCAGCCGAAATCAAGAATCGGATGCTTAACCGACTGAGCCACCCAGGCGCCCCTAAAACTTTATTTCAAATGGAGAATTTTCGAAAACATGCAAAAATAGAATAGCGTACTGAACCTCCATGTCCCCACTAGCCAGCTTCAACGAATACGCACTCACAGCCAATCTCGTGTCGTCTTTAGCCTCCACACCCCCCTCACTGCCATACACTCTGGATGGTTTTGAAGGAGTCCCCAGATATCTTTTCATCTCTTTTCAGTATGTATCTCTAAAAAAATAAGGATTCTTTTAAAAAGCATGACCACAATACCACTTGGATCTAAAAAACAAACACAAACAAATCCAATAATTCCTAATTAATTAACCAAATATCCAGTCCATGTTCCCATTTCCCCGGTTGTCTCAAAACTGTCTTTTTCCCATTTGTTCATTTGAACTGGAATCCAAATAAGGTCTTCTATTTTAATTGGTTGCTAGACCCCTCGAGTCTCCTGTGTAGATTTCCCTTCCAGCTCTGTCTCTCTTCGAAATGTGTTTGCTGAAGAAACCAGGCTGTCTGTCCTGTAAAGCTTTGCTTCTCAAAGTATGGTCCCTGGACCAGCCGGGTCTGCCTCACCTGGGGGCTCATTAGAGATGCAGACTGTCAGGGCACCTTGGGTGGCTCAGTTGGTTAAGCGGCTGGCCCTTGGTTTCAGCTCAGGTCATGATCTCACGGTTTCGTGAGTTCAAGCCCCGCATCGGGCTCTGCACTGGCAATGCAGAGCCTGCTTGGGATTCTCTCTCTCTCTCCCTCTCTCTCTCTCTCTGTCTCTGCCCCTCCCCCCTCAAAATAAATAATAAAACTTAAAACATTTTTTTAAAAATGCGGAATCTCAGGCTTCCCCCCAGACTTGCCCAATGAGAATGCCAAACTTAATCCTGGGAGATTCGTGTGTCTACCGCCATTGGGAGTGCCGGCCTAGCTTCTCAGGCTGCATCTGGCTGTCACATCCCCCTGGTGTTGTTTTAACATTTTCCTCTGTCCCCTGTATATCCTGGGAGCTAGGAGACGGGTCCAGAGGTGCGGTTAGATTCAGGTTGGGCAAGACGGCTTCACAGACGATGGTGTTTGTGGTGATGAAGGCTCGGGGAGGTTCCGCTGTGGAGATCAGAGGGGCTGGAGGGAAAGCGCAGTCAGAAGAACTTTCTGGGTTTTGAAGCATGAGTCTTGGGAGAGAAGTGGGAATGGTGGCGGGCATGATATGCACAGTGATCCCGGGGGAGCTGGAGGTTGGCCTGGCCGGATCGGAGGGGGGACAGCCCGTGAGCAGCCTCGGGGTCATTGGGGCGCTTTCAGTGCCTGAGTTTGGACCCATAGACACCAGCAGGATCAAGCTGGGGCAATCGACCCCCAGGGTTCAGAATCCACACTCAACATCACCTCCAGGTCACCCACTTCCTCATCCTGCCCTCTTCTGTCTTGCCAGGTGGAGCCCAACACGAAGCTGTTCCCTGCCGTCTTTGTCCTGCCCACCCACCAGAATGTCATCCAGTTTGAGCTGGGGAAGCAGAAGGTGAGGGTGCGGTGATGGGGCAGGCTGAGGCAGCAGGTGCGGGAGGTCAGGCTGGCAGAGTGGCTGAAAAGTGGGGCAATCCGGGAGGTCTCCCTGGAAGCAGAGTGGCAGGACAGAGAGGGCTGGGAATTGTGACCGGTGCACACCTCTGTGCCTCCAGAACATCATGCCTCTGTCAGCCGCCATGTTTCTGAGTGAGCGCAAGAACCCGGCCCCGCAGTGCCCGCCTCGGCTCGAGGTGCAGATGCTGATGCCTGTCTCGTGGAGCCGGATGCCCAACCACTTCCTGCAGGTGGAGACGCGGCGAGCCGGCGAGCGGCTGGGCTGGGCCGTGCAGTGCAAGGAGCCACTGACCATGATGGCGTTGCACATCCCTGAGGAGAACCGGTCAGGGCTGGCCCAGACCCACAGGGGTGGGACGGGTGTTGCAAGCCCTCTGGGGTCCAGATCCCCCTCGGTGCACCCCTCCACCCGTACCCCAGGACTCCAGACAACACCCCAGGAGGCCCCAGACCTACCTCAGGGAACCCTGACTCAGCGGGGGCATCCCCAGATAAGACTCCAGGGGACTCCAGACCCACCTCAGAGGGCTTTAGGCCCATATTAGTGGACCAACGACTCACCTCCAGGGACCCCAGACCTACCCCACAGGGCTCCAAGCCTATGTCAGGGAGCCCAGATCCACACTGAGGAGCCACACAACACTCCAGGAGCCTCAAGTGCACCTCGGAGGGTCACGGACATTACTCAGAGGGGCCTGCACGTGCCCCCGGTTGTCCTGGGAGACACGCCCACGGAGACTTCGGATGTGTCCCGTGGGGATCTCAAACCCAGTCCAGGGGACCCAGACACACCCGGGGTAGAGATGTATTCACATGTATGGCAGGAATGCTCTTAGTTACTCTGAACACACAGTCCAGCCCCAGACTCACTCCAGGAGGCTGTAACGTGTGTCATCTTTCTTTTATTCATTCATTCAACAAACAGCTCTGAGCTTTTCCTACGTGGCCAGCAGCATTCTGGGCTGGAGACACCAAGCTCTTGTGAACAGACACTCCAGCAATGCTCACGTATAACTCTGGGGCTCAGACTTGCCCAAGGGGACCCAGGCCCACCTCCGGGAGTCCCAGATTCACTCACTCACTCGCTCGCTCACTCACTCACTCTATCCATCATCCACCCATCTATCTACCTACCTATCTGTCTAACAAGCATTTATTGAACACTCACTATGTGCTAAGTCCTGTTTAGGTTCTGGGAATACAGCAGAAAACAAAAACAAAAACAAACAAACAAAACCCCCAAAGGCAGACAGGTCCTGCCCTGGTGGGGTTTACATTCTCGTTGCACTCAAACATCGCCAAGTTACTCAGCCCTGCCAGAGGGAGGTTCAGTTTCCATTTGGGAATCCCAGACGTATCTTAGGGTCACCAGATCTCCTCCGGAGATTCTCAGATACTGAGTACCAGACCATCCCAGGGATCCCAGATAAATCCCAAGGAGCACCCCAGACCACTTAGGGACTTCTAGAACCATGGAAAGACCCGGCTCCACACGCCTCACAGAACCCTGACCCAGCGTGCCCCCGGGAACCCCTGCTGGGGTGGCCGCCACTCTCACCGGTACCCCTCTCTGCCTCTCTGTGCCCCTGCCTCCCACCTCCTCTGCTGGCTCTGGCCCGTCTCCGCCGCAGATGCATGGACATCCTGGAGCTGTCGGAGCGCCTGCACCTGCAGCGGTTCCACTCCCACACCCTCCGCCTCTACCGCGCCGTGTGCGCCCTGGGCAACAACCGCGTGGCGCATGCTCTGTGCAGCCACGTGGACCAGGCGCAGCTGTTACACGCCCTGGAGGACGCGCACCTGCCGGGCCCGCTGCGGGCGGGCTTCTACGACCTGCTCATCAGCATCCATCTGGAAAGTGCCTGCCGCAGCCGCCGCTCCATGCTCTCTGAGTACATCGTGCCCCTCACGGAGGAGACCCGCGCCATCACTCTCTTCCCGCCCGGAAAGAGTGCGGAAAACGGCCCCCGCCGCCACCGCCTGCCTGGCGTTGGCGTCACCACCTCGCTGCGGCCTCCACACCATTTTTCACCGCCCTGTTTCGTGGCTGCCCTGCCGGCTGCCGGGGCGGCAGAAGCCCCGGCCCGCCTCAGCCCCAGCATCCCTCTCGAGGCCCTGCGGGATAAAGCACTGAGAATGCTGGGGGAGGCCGTGCGCGATGGTGGGCAGCACGCACGTGACCCTGTCGGGGGCTCTGTGGAGTTCCAGTTTGTGCCTGTGCTCAAGCTTGTGTCCACCCTGCTGGTAATGGTTTCCTCCTGCTTCCTTCTGTCCCGTTCTTCTTCCACATTCCAAACAATCCATCCATCCGGACGTCAACCTCCCTCTCATTTGTGCCTCCAACCGCCCGTTCATCTCTCCATCCTTTGTTCACTTTTCCTCCCATCTGTTCATCTGTCATCTGTTAGTCTGCTTATCGTTGTTTTCCCCCTTCTTTCCATTCCTCCATCCAACCAACCATCATTCATCCATCTATCAATCCATTCATCCTCCACCTACCTTTCCATCCACCCAGTTATTCAGTCAAACTCCCATCTTCCCATCCACAAGACCATCCACTTATTCTTCTATTTTCTGCCCACGTCTCCATCCATCCATTCACGTACCATCCATCCAGTTTTCAATCTAGTTTCCATTCATCCTTCCATTTACTCATACATCAGTACACCCACTGTTCCGTCTGTTCATTTATCCACCTACCCACTTATTTATTAATCTGTCTTTCCTTTCATGCATCCAGCTATCATCCGCCTTCCCCCTGTGCCTCCATCCATCCACCCATCTACGGATTCATCCATTCCTTCATCTTCCACCTACCTGTCTGTTCACCGATGCATCTCTCAATCCATATGTATGTGCGCCCATCCACCTACCCACAAATCCGCCCAACCGTCTACACCCATTCGTCCACCTCCCATCCACCCGTTCTTCATCCTCTATTTCATGGGCCCTTTCATTCACATACCCATCTGATGACTCATGAATATATACATCCATCCAAATTTTCGTGCCCAAACTATCCACCCATCCATCATCCACGCATCCCATTTCATCCCATCCCCTGGCTATTTACCCATGTATCTGTTTACCCATCCACTCATTTACATACTCATGCACCTGTCACATCATCCATCCACCTACCCACCCATCCATACACTACATATCTTGTCATCTATCCGCCCATCTCTTCCTCCACCTTTACTTTCATCTTTCCATTCATATCTGCCCATCAATTCCCCCTTCAGACCTCTGATATTCCATCTGTTAAGTCAGCCACCCAGTCCCCCCTCCCCCACTTACCCATCTCTCTTCTCCCCACTGTTTTTCCCTTTCATCTACCTTCTCTCCCTCCATCTGTTAGCATTTTCATTATGTTTGCTGAGGGCTAGCATATGCTAGGAGCTACGAAGGCATCCGTCAGGGTAGGGTATGGTCTGTTTCAGAGTCACATATGCTCAAGTTTAGGAGAAAGAACATTTGCTAGTGAAGGGAGAGGCACTCATGTTTGGCTCTGTGGTCTGGTTGGCTATGTGCTTAGGTGGGACACAGGGTGTGGATCTGGGGGGATCTTAAGGAGGCTGGAGAGCAGGGCAGGGGGTGACATTTCTCTGTGTCGGAGGAATCACATGTAGCCCATGCAGGAATGAATTTGGCATATTCAGGAGAAGTAGGTTGGGGAGTGAGGCTGGGACTTAATTTGAGGTCTTGTGGGCCACAGTGAAGGATCCAGGCTTTGTCCTGTAGGTGATGGGCATCTTTGATGATGAGGATGTGAAACAGATCTTGAAGATGATTGAGCCTGAAGTATTCACTGAAGAAGAAGAGGAAGAGGAAGAGGAGGAAGAGGAAGAAGAAGATGAAGAGGAGAAGGAAGAGGATGAGGAGGAAGAGGCACAGGAGAAGGAAGATGAGGAAAAAGAGGAAGAGGAGACAGCCGAAGGGGAAAAAGAAGAAGGCCTGGAGGAAGGGCTGCTCCAGATGAAGTTGCCAGAGTCTGTGAAGTTACAGGTAGGCTGGTTCTTCCTGTTCTCCGGCCGCCACTCATCTGGGCTGGAAAACACAGGATCTGGTGCGGGGGTGAGTCTGGACCTTGCCCTGAGGCAGTGGGGAGCTGTGGAAGTGCCACAGGTGGCTGGCATGCTTCTGGCTTCAAATGGCCTCTCTGCTTGCCACGTGGCAAATGAATTGGACGGATGAGACCACGGAGAAGTCTGGCTTATGGATCCAGGCAGGAAATGACAGCGGCAGATGGGGCAGGGCCATGGAGAGGGGAGAGGAAGCAAGAAAAGTTTTTAAGGAAGTCCTGATGGTCTCACCGCCGTCATCCCTACTGCATGGCTGTCCTCCCACAGATGTGCCACCTGCTGGAGTACTTCTGTGACCAAGAGCTGCAGCACCGTGTGGAATCCCTAGCGGCCTTTGCGGAGCGCTACGTGGACAAACTCCAGGCCAACCAGCGGGACCGCTATGGCCTCCTCATGAAAGCCTTCACCATGTCCGCAGCTGAGACTGCCCGACGTACTCGCGAGTTCCGCTCCCCACCCCAGGAGCAGGTCTTCTGACCCCTGATCCCAGCTGGCATTATTTTTAAATCCCAACATCAACCCCTCCCCCCACTCTGATCGCTGATGGTACTAAACCTCCAAGCTCAGGCCTGACCCCTGACCCTGTTGATATATTTATCTCTCACTCTCCTAGGTCTCTCTGAACCGATAGGACCTCTTAGTAGGACCTCAGACTGACCCTGACTCCTTTCAAACCTCTAATTTCTCAGATAGTCTTCATTAACTCGTGGCCTTAGACAGGGACTCACAATTGGATCTTTGATCCTTGATCTCAGAATTTCTGCTCTTGAGCTTCTGACCCTCATTCTAACTTATGACCTTCCCCTAGATAAACATGCTATTGCACTTCAAAGATGGTGAGGATGATGAAGATTGTCCTCTCCCTGAAGAGGTCCGGCAGGATTTGCTTGAATTTCATCAAGACTTGCTGGCACACTGTGGTAAGAGATCAGAGAACCCTTCTCCCAGACTTTCTCTTGTGACCTTTCCTGAAGTTTCCCTAAGATTTCCTGATCTTAAATATTTACAGTTTTGGTGTAGTGTAACTTTTGGTTGAACGAATGAATGAACAGATATATTAGTGAACAGATAGAGGATGAGTGGAAGGATAAGCTTATATGGGTGTTTGAGCGGATTATATATGGATGGATGGCTATCAGCAAGTGAGTGATGAGTGTGTAAATTGGTGGGTAAAGAGATAAATGAGTAAAGAAATGGGTGAAGAGATGACTGAGTGGACTTATGGATAAAGAGAAGGATGATGGATGGATGGATAGATGAATGATTAAAAATTGAATGGAGAGATGGTGGGTGTCTGGTGGGATGAATGGATAATTTCCATTGTTTCTGATAACTTAGTTACTAATCTTACTGAGATTCTTTTATATATGATGAGTTGTTTTTCTCTGGCTGACTTTCTGTTTGCCTCTGTTTTGAAACAGTTGGGTATGATGTGTCTAAGTGTAGAGCTCTTTGATTTTATCCTACTTGGAATTTGTTAAGTTTCTTGGATGTATAGATTAATATTTTTCATCAGATTTGAGGGACTTTTGGGCTATTATTTCTGCACATTTTTGTGGCCATTTTTCATTTCTGTTTCTGGGATTCCCATTATGCATATATTGATATATTTTGTTAGGGGCGCCTGGGTGGCGCAGTCGGTTAAGCATCCGACTTCAGCCAGGTCACGATCTCGCGGTCCGTGAGTTCGAGCCCCGCGTCAGGCTCTGGGCTGATGGCTCGGAGCCTGGAGCCTGTTTCCGATTCTGTGTCTCCCTCTCTCTCTGCCCCTCCCCCGTTCATGCTCTGTCTCTCTCTGTCCCAAAAATAAATAAACGTTGAAAAAAAAAATTATTTTGTGATGTTCTGGTCCACAGGCTCTAAGGCTCTGTTAGTTTTTCTTCATTCTTTTTTATTCTTCAGACTGGATAACCTCTATTGTCCTAACTTTAAGTTCACTGATTCTTTCTCCTACCAGATCAAATATGCTATTGTATTCCTCTAGTGATTTTAAAATTTCACTTATTGTACTTTTCAGCCCCAAAAACTTCTATATGGTTATTTTTTTATATGACCTGCCTCTTTACTAATATTCTCTATTTGAGGCGTCACTGTCATCATACTTCTCTTTAATACTTTAGACATGGTTTCCTTTAGTTCTTTAACCTATTTACAATAGCTGGTTAAAAAAAATATTTAAAATGCTTCAAAGAATGAATAAATGAACAAACATATGAACATATAGAGAAAAACCCAAGAAGGGATACATGAGTGAGAAATGAATGAATGAACCAATGAATGAACAAAGAAGTGAATGACTGAGTAGATGAATAAACAAACAGATGAAGGACACCCTCTATCTTCTTGACCAACTCCAGGAATTCAGCTGGAGGGAGAGGAGGAGGAGCCAGAGGAAGAGGCCACCCTGGGCAGCCGCCTGATGAGCCTGCTGGAGAAAGTGAGGCTGGTGAAGAAGAAGGAGGAGAAACCTGAGGAGGAACCACCTGCTGAGGAGGCCAAACCCCGTGAGGACTGGGGCCTTAGGGAGGGACAGGGATGGGGCAGACAGCCTTGTGTTTGGGGAGCCTCTGGGTCCAAGACAGGCCATGAGGAATAGGGAAAAGGGAGGGGTGGATTAATGAGAGAGGAGGAGTGGGAGGTAGGGTGAGAGAAGAGGCATGCTGAAAGTGTGGCTGAAATGTGGGGGCTGCACAGTATGTGTGTTGGACTGGTGTGCCATTTGGCCTGCCAGAGCAGAGACACACATCCCACGTCGGGATGGTGGAAGCTCCTATACCAGCATGGCTTCTGTGTTCTCATGGATTTTCTTTGTTTTTCTTTTTTGTTGGTTTTTTTTTTTTTTTTTTTTTTTTTGTGAAACAATTACTATGACGAGGGATTAGAAACACTGTTATGATAAGTGTTGGGCCAGTGGGTCATTGTACAAACTATATATCAGCTCTATCCAACAAGGACAGAATCCCTGATGTTGGTACAGGGTTTAATTCTACAACAGTCAAGGCACTGTTGGCTTGGCTGAGGGATATTGTAGGGGGAAAAAGTCACAGTCTCTGTTCTTCAGGAGTTTAGAATATTATAACAGATACACATATACATATACCATAATGTCTGGTGGCCATGGGTGCTAAGGAGAAAAATAAAGCTGAGTGATAGGAGAGAGTGGGATAGATGGAGGGGTCAGAGTGGAGGAGTGAGGTATGCAAAGATCTGGGAAGATGATTGGTACAAAGGGAACAGCCAGTGCGAAGGCCCTGAGGCAGGAACATGCTTGGTATGTTTAGAGGCCAGTGTGGGAGTGAGCAGGAGGCGAGGGGCAGGAGATGAGGTCACCAGTGCAAGGCCCAAACTTTAAAAAAAAAGGGTGGGGGGAGGTGCTGGGTGATTTAGTCGGTTGAACATCCAACTCTTGATTTTGACTCAGGTCATGATCTCATGGTTCG